CTCAGACACTTAAAAGCAGCTTGAGGCTTCAACTTAAGACCAAACTCACCCCAAAGTTAATGGAGCAATCACCTCAAGGGACAATTCAGTAGAAACAAAGGGACTGACTGGGAAGATTCTAAAAGCGGAAGACCACCAAAGCTCAAAATCCTTCTCCCTGCACCAAATTCTTCTCCTGACACCCTAGTAAGGCACCTTAACTGCACAGAGATTTCCAAGTTTACGCAGCTTCCTGAGGCAATTCTACTACACCCTTTTCTAGGGCACAAATCAATCCCTCTCCTACCCGCCTCCTCCCCCCCCCCCCCCCCCCCCGCCAGTCTCCTCAACAATGAGTATCCCAGGGGAGCTGGATAGTAAAGCAGGTAGGCACTTGCCTTGAAATCCCCTGACCCAGATTTCAGCTGCAGCATTCTTCTATATGGTCCCCTGAGTACCACCAGAAGCATTCCTTGAGCACAGAGTCAGGAGTAACTTCTGAGCACTGCTGGGTGATACAAAAAAAATAAATTAAAAATAAACAAACATAAGAATGAGTATCCTAGGAACAAAGCACAAAAAAATTAAGAATTAGTATCCTCCCTCAATAAACTGTTTTTACTTCAAGAAGCCGGAGGTGTGTGACTTAGCAGTAGATTACATGCGTTTAACATGTGAGGCTCTGAATTTACAACACCAAAAAAAAAAAAATAGAACAGCATCACGATCACCCTGTTGTTCGTCGATTTCCTCGTGCAGGCACCAGTAACGTCTCCTTCTTCCTAGCCCTGAGATTATAAAAGAGCCGTTTCAATGCTCTTTCAGGATTAGGAGAACGAGACCCAGCATTGTTACTGGTATTTGGCATATTGAGTACAACACGGAAGTTTGCCAGACTCTGCCGTACGGGCAGGATACTTTTGGTAGCCTGCCAGGTTCTCCAAAGGAAAAATAATAAAATGTCACGCGGCTGCAAATGCGGCCGCGTGCTTCCGGGAGCTGGGTTTTATAGTCTCTGCGTCTTGGCCATTGATGGGACCAACCTGGCACTGGCAGCAGCTGGTGGGTGTGACACCTACCTACTGGAAGATGAGGGGGGTCTGGGTGGAGAAGGCCCAGTCCCAATCCGAATACGCTTGGAGACCTCAGCCACAGAGCCGCATGCCTGGGTTGCTCTGCCAATTCTTTCATGCATGAGGCCCGTCTGGACATGTGGAGAGTGGTCCCAGCATGGCTGTGGCTGGCTCCAGAGGTCCTCAGCTGCTGGGGCTCTGCTCAGGGCATGAGCATGAGGTGGATTTTACTTCCCCTTCCTCCCCTCCCCCCCAAAAAACAGGAAAGTTGTAGGAAAAGACTCAAAAGCTGTTTATGTGCGGCCTTGTGGTCATTGGCAAGCTCTGTGATTTTATACTGCTAAGATGGGAAACACTAGAGGTATAAATAGGGCAAGATTGTCTGGTCTCATTCTCCTAACCCTGAAAGAGCTTTGAATATGGCACTTTTTTAAAAATCTCAGGTCTAGGATGAAGGAGACATTACTGGGGCCTGCTCTAGGCAATCGACAAACAACAGGATGGTCGTGATCGTGATTGCCTGGTAGACATTTTATGTCATTAAAACACACTGGGGGGGGCGGGGCTGGAGCGATAGCCAGTGGGTAGGGCATTTGCCTTGCATGCAGCCAACATGGCTGACTCTGGTTCGATTCCCAGCATCCCATATGGTCCCCGAGCACCGCCAGGAGTAATTCCTGAGTGCATGAGCCAGGAGTAACCCCTGAGTATCGCCAGGTGTGACCCAAAAAACAGCAAAAAAAAAAAAACACGCTGGGGGGTCTGAAGCAGTAGCACAGTGGGTAGGGCATTTGCCTTGCAAGTGGCCGACCTACGTTTGATTTCCAGCATTCCATATGGCCCCCCGAGCACTGACGGGTAATTCCTGAGCACAGAGCCAGGAGTAACCCCTGTGCATCACTGGGTGTGACCCAAAAAGAAAAATAAAAAACTGGGCCTAAGAGATGGCTCACTGCCGAGAGCATGCCCACTTACATGAGACTCAGCCTGGCACCACAAGGTCTGACATCTCCAGAACACCCTGGGAATCAGGGGGAGCTCCTCGGCACCACCACATGTGGCCCAAAAATGAAACAGAAAAGTCAAAACTTTATAAGCTATAATTGTAGCATAACTGATTTCCAGGGGTTTTTTTTTTGAGAAACAACTTTTAAAATATACATGAACATAAACTAAAGGGATGGTTTGTAATTTCTTCATATGCTGTTTTACGAGTCGCAGCTCTTCCTAATCTAGACACCAAGTTTACTCTTGATTCTATGGAGCAATGTTATTTTCAAGGGTGGGGGGGGGGGGATTTAGTTTCAGAGAAGCGCTTGTTGCTCCTGGAGAACTCTGACCGACCTTGGAAATGTCCTTTCACATACCGCCCACCCCCGACACACGTTCTCATGACTTCCTCTGTAAAATGCAGTATTGATAGCTACTAAAGTATAACATACTAAATAACAGGCAAATGAAAGGTAGGAAATGGTAATTCCCTATCCTGAGCTGCTTTCCCTTCTTCGTCATCACTTTGAACTTATTTCCAGATCTAGGATTTGAAGCAAATTAGTATTTGGGGACTGAAATCAAATCCTTACACTAAATCTTCAAGCCTGTAGCAAAAAGCACCTATTAATTCAATGAGTGGCTGATAACGTGCCACACTGTTTGCTACGCGAGTCTTAGATCATATAAAATCCTTCTTATCAGAGAAGAGCAAATTTGGATGGGGAGGTGGGGGAAGGTGGGGGTATCAACAGCAAACTGTAGCACTGTAGCACTGTCCTCCCATTATCCATCGATTTGCTCCAGTGGGCCCAGTAACGACTCCAGTGTGAGACTTGTTAGTGTGTTTGGCATATCAAATATGTCATGGATAGCTTGCCAGGCTTTGCCATGCGGGAGAGATACTCTTGGTAGCTTGCCGGGCTCTGCAAGAGGGGTGGAGGAATTGATTTTTACATATTTTTTTTTATTTGTATCACTCAAGAAGCAATTTAAAAACTGCCTTGTCCAAACGGGCCGGAGAAATGGACTAGCAGGCAGATAAGACGCTTGCAGGGCCAGTTACGAGGCATTTCTCAGCCTGCCGTGGGCCGAAGCTCCACGGTCCAGAGATGTTTTTTAAAGGTCTCTGGGCAGGGTCCCGGACCTCGGTCCCTGCTGTGAGTTTCTGGGGCTTCACTGGAAGGACAGCAGAGCAGGCGGCTGCTCCCAACTCCTCCTAGCGTGCACTATCTTCAACGTCTCTCTGTGTTCCCTGATTTTTCCTTTCTTTGAGGGGGGGAATGCCACCCTCGGCGATGCTCGGAACTGACTCAGGAGCCGGTACGGAGAGGCCAGGCTGGCACCCGGGTCAGCGAGGCAAGTGTCTCGGCCGCTTCTTTCCAGATCTAAGGTATCTGCACCGAAAATTAGCATTTGGGGCCTGAACTCAAATTTTTTCGTCATTTCGTCATCCTGTTAATCGTCGATTGCCTCGAGCAGGCACCAGTAACGTCTCTTTCATCCTAGCCCTGAGATTATATTCACGGCTCTTTAGGAGAATGAGACCCATCATTGTTACTGGTATTTGGCATATTTGGTAGGCCACGGGGAGTTTGCCAGACTCTGCCCTGTGGGCAGGCTACATTCGATAGCCTGCAAGTTTGTCCAAAGTAGGAATGAGATAATAAGATGTCGCGCGGCCGCGAATGCGGCCGCGCGGTTCCGGGATCTGGATTTTATAGTCACACCCACCACCTGGCCCCCTGGCGCCGTGTAATCCCATCAGCGGCCAAGACTCAGAGACTATAAAATCCTGAACTCAAATATTGAGCCTCAATCTTCAAGCCTGGAGCAAAAATGCACCTCTTAATTCAACGAGTGGCAGAGCACATGCCAACGAAACCTTCCCAGGTGCCTTTTTCCCACGTGCCATCAAAACGTTTCCACGGCTTCAGCCCCGAATTTTCTCCTTTCCCAAGCGCAGGCTTCAAGGGGGCGGGGCGCTGCTCTCCTCTCCTCCGTGTGTGTGTGTGTGTGTCCTGCTTTCCTCTCCTCCCAGTTTGTGTGTGTGTGTGCAGGGTCTTGCTTTCAGCTCTTCCTCACTGCTCCTTCCCGTGGGGGCCAGAACTTTACACACACACACACTTTACACACACACACACACACACTTTGCACACACACACACACGGGCCAGGAAAACGGGCCCCTCCACCCGGGGCCGCTTTCACGCGCATCTCTCCGCCCAGAAAACAAATAAAAAAACAAACCAACCCAAAACCACCTGCGCCTCGAAGCACGTGGCGCCACCGCGCGAGCGAGCTTCGCCGCGCGCGCCCAGCGCGGGAGCCACGCGCCTGCGCAGTGGCGCGGGAAGGCGGGCGGGGCGTCGCGGGGGCTGCTGGGAAAGAGTCAGCGAGCGGAGGCGGGGGAGGAGGAGGAGGAGGAGGAGGCGGCGGCGAGAAGTGGGCGGGGCAGGGACATAGGGGCGGGGCGGGGCAAGCGAGGGGCGGGGCAGTCGAGGCGGCAGGGGGCGGGCCTTCCCGGAGGCGGGGCCTCCCGCCTTCACTTCCTGTTTGCCGGTACTTCTGATTCCGGGTCGCGGGAGTTCACCTCCGCTCCCCTCCGCGGCGGCTCCGGCACCCCTCGGTGACAGCGGCTCCGGACTCGAGCCCCGGGGCCCGCTTCCCTCGCCGAGACCCGCGGGAGCCGGGACGCCCCTCGCCAGCCCCCGGCCGCGGAGCCACGCGTCCTGCCGCCGCCGCCGCCCTCGCCCTCCTCCTCCTCGCTCGGCCCCGGTCCCCCGCGGGCTCGGCCGGCCCGAGCTCGCCGCTGATGCCCGGAGCGCCGGCGGGCCCGGGGCTGCGCGGTCCGGCCGCCCGCCGGGGCCGGATGGGCCCGCCCGCCCCCTAGATGCGGCCGCTGCGGCGGCGTTGGCGGCGCCCGGTCCCGCTGCGGCTGCGCCCCGTGTCCCGCCGCGCCCCGGGCCCGCCTGCGCCCGCGGCGCGGCCACCGCCATGGACAAGATCCTGGAGGGCCTGGTGAGCTCCTCGCACCCGCTGCCCGTCAAGCGCGTGATCGTGCGCCGGGTGGTGGAGTCGGCCGAGCACTGGCTGGACCAGGCGCAGTGCGAGGCCATGTTCGAGCTGACCACCCGGCTCATCCTGGAGGGCCAGGACCCGTTCCAGCGGCAGGTGGGCCACCAGGTGCTGGAGGCCTACGCGCGCTACCACCGGCCCGAGTTCGAGGCCTTCTTCAGCAAGCCCTTCGTGCTGGGCCTGCTGCAGCGCGGCTACCACTCGCTGGGCCGGGCGGACGTGGCCATCCTGGACTACATCCACACGGGCCTGAAGCTGATCATGAGCTGCCCGTCCGTGCTCGACCTGTTCGGCGCGCTGCAGGTGGAGGTGCTGCGCCTGGTGTGCGAGCGGCCCGAGCCGCCGCTCTGCGCGCGCCTCTGCGACCTGCTGGGCGACTTCGGCCAGTGCGTGCCCAAGGGGAAGCCGGCCGTCACCTTCTGCCAGCAGCTGGTGCGCACCATCGGCCACTTCCAGTGCGCGTCGGGCCAGGAGAAGGAGCTGCGCGAGTACGTGGCGCAGGTGACCAAGGTGAGCGGGCTGCTGCAGAACATCTGGAAGGCCGAGCCCGCCACGCTGCTGCCCTCGCTGCAGGAGGTCTTCGCCAGCATCTCCTCCACCGGTGAGCCCGCCTTTTTTTTCCCTTGGCTTCGCGGTCCCGGTGGCCAGGGAGGAAGTTCAGTCCCCCACCCCCCCACCCCCAAAAGTAAATAAATAAATAAATGCATTCGGTGCATTGCGCCTTTGGCCCCAGACCTTTGGCCCCAAACCGGTTGCCTCATGGCCCCGGGGATGCCTGGGACGGGGGCCGGCGGCTTCCGGTGCCCGGCGGGTGCTGCCCGCTGACTCAGAGCGCCTGCCGGCCTGTCATCTCCTGCTAACGAGCGTGCCCACCACCCCCGCCGCCCGCCGCCGGGCCGCGCGGCTTTGATGAGGTTGGAGCATCCTCCCTCCCGAACGCTGGGAGGGCGGGGTGCTCGGGGTCTCCCTCCAGGCTCGGGCCAACCCCACCCCCCCACCACCCACGGGGAACTTTGCAGGGTGCCCGGCCGCGTGCCCCGCTCCTGCCGTCGTTAATTAAGCTGGTGTTTGAAGGGTGGGCGCGACGTTTGTTCGCGGCCCTCGGTGGGTGCCAGGTGGCATCGGGCGGGCCAGGGGAGCGGGTTCTGTCTCGGGGTGTTTGGCAGCATCCCGAGAACGGGGAGGCGGGTGCCAGCCGGGGCCCCCTCTCCCCTGGCACTCCTTGCCCCGGCTCGCGTGCGCCTGGTCCCCGCGGGCTGTTGGGAGGAGATGCCCAGCGCCGCCGTGTTTACTTCCTCCCCTTGGTCCCAGTCACCCTCCCTGGCGGTGGTTCAAGACCCAGCTTGGGAAGAGGGCGTCTCTGCCTTTCATCTGGGGCGCCGGCACTGGGCGTCTTAGCGAGCCACACGCCACGCGCGCCAGGTGAATTAAGCACATCGACTGACCGGGCGACCTGGCCACCCTAGCTGGTTTGCATTGCTCTTTTTGGACTCACAGCTCCCGGTGGGTGGAGCTGGGAGGTTCCCCCAGAACTCCCCCAGCTCTAGAGGAAAAGGGTGGGTTTACCTAATGATCTCAGGTTCCCTCATTTCCCCTTTATTTCCACTTCTTTAAAGATTTGTGTTGGTTTTTTTTTTAATCATCATTACAGCAACCTAATCGCTACTTTAATTGGCATTTACATCACCTTGGAGAATCTGAAAATAGACATGAACTACCTTACATTTCTTTTTAAAAAAAAATTGATTATAGTTGAGGCAGTATGGTTACAGTAGTGTCAGTAGCCTGGTTTACAGATACTTTTAAATTCATGATATTGATGTACAAAGATCCAGCCCACCACCAAACACCAAACTTGACCCCCTATCCTTAACGAGTTTCTTTCCTGACTTCTGGTTAGCAAATTAGTGTTTCAGCACAGAATAGGAAAGAATGTAGGGAAGTAAGGTCTGAACTAACTCAGATTTTCTCTTGCTTGGTGCTGTCTCCAGAGTGGGTCCTACTCTCTCCTGAGTGCCCCCCATCCCCCCTAGTCACCCCACCCTGTGTGGCGTCTCCCCCCACCAGGTGGATCCGGGCTGCTCAGCTTCTTCCCCTCCCGTCCTGTTTGCCCAGAAATTTTTTTAACCTCTTTTTTTTTTTCCTTTTTGGCTCATACCCCGCGATGCTCAGGTTACTACTGGTGGTGCTCAGGGGACCATATGGGATGCTGGGGATCGAACCCGGGGTTGGCCGCATACAAGGCAAATGCCCTACCTGCTGTGCTGTCGTTCCAGCCCCAGAAATTTTTTATGCAAACTTTTTACACAACTCCAGTATAGAGATGGTACATAAAATAGAAATGTTAAGTTGAACACTAGTTGATAACAAGTCCTCAATTTATTTTAAGACAAATTAGCCCTAGCCCACCCCCAAACCCCCATCCAGTGTCACAACCCCGCTTTGGGTCCTGACTGTGAGTTACTGGAGGTCGGCAGCTGCTTCCCGGTTGACACTCGGGATCCACGGGCTTAGTTGGTTTGGGCAAATAGTTGTCTCTCCATACTTCAGTTAACCTAAACTGTTCTCTGACGATCTAGATGCAGCGTATGAGCCTTCCGTGGCGTTGGCGAGCCTGGTGCAGCATATCCCTCTTCAGATGATCACGGTTCTGATCAGGAGCCTGACCACAGACCCCAATGTCAAAGACGCCAGCATGACCCAAGCTCTGTGCAGGTACCTCGCCACACTGTCTACGATTCCTGGGGAGTGTTATGTCGCTGCGTTTTGTGGGTAATGAATGATCGTAGAGAAACATGAAACTAAAGTTACAAAATCACGTACATAAGCACTTTCCAAATCTGATCGGAATGATTTATTTAACTTGGTATACACCATTGACAGACATCCCAGTAATTCACACATCTACTTTTTATTTGACTTTTTAAAATTCTAACACATATGTGAATGCGTACCCTCTTTATTTCTTTTGTTGATTTTTCTGTGTTTTTTGGGGGGCCCACCGCCATCAGTGCTCAAGGGTTACTCCTGACTGCACTCAGGAATTAACTCCTGGCAGTGTTCGGGGGACCCTATGGGATGCTGCTCTTCCCTACCTGCTGTACTATAGCTCTGGGCCTTTGTTGGTTTCATTATCATTTCTTTCAGTTACTTTCCTCTGGGCATTTTCCTTTTTTTTTTTTTTTCAAATCCCTAGCTAAGTAAATATTTTTACTTTTACCAGGATCTCTAGATAATACCCTTTCAATCTTTGTCTATCTGATGTGCATTCTTCTCCCCTGTGTATTTATTTGTTTCTGGGTTTTGAGCCACACCCAGCAATGCTCACAAGCAACTTCTTCCTGCATTCAGAAATTACTCCTGCCTGTGTTCAGGGGACCATATGGATGCCAGGGCGGCTGCTTGCGGCCACATGTCCTACCCACTGTACCACCTCCCGTCCCCCTAAACTTTCGTTTGGCTTTTGTGCCAAACTCAGGTGTGCTCATGGCTTGCTCCTGGTTTTGCACTCAGAAATTCCTCCTGGCCGGCTCTGAGGACCACCTGGGGTGCTGGGGATCGAACCCGTGTTGGCTGCAAGCAAGGCAAATGCTCTACCTGCAGTACTATCGTTCCACCCGCTCTTCTCCCCTATATTTAATAAGAGACAAAATCCTCATCTGAAAGTCATTTTCAGCATTTGAAAACTAATACTGCATGTCTTCTTTCATTGTTAATGTGACGTTACTCAATGAAAGTATCTTTCCTTTGTGAATAGCTAGACTTTTCTGATAACTCCTTATGTTTTTTATCTATAATTTTTTACTCCTGTGAGTATAAGCATAGTGTTATTTATTCTTAGCACTTCTGTGCTCTTATTTGTCATTTATTTATTCAAATTATGTTTGTTGAATACCTACCATCAGTGCCAGGCTGTGTTCAAAATATTCTTCTCATGGGAGCTTTCTAATTGGAGAGGTGATGACTAAGAACATCTTTCATTGAGTCCAAGATGTGTCCTGACTTTAGAGATGTTAAAATGTGGACGTGCACAGTCATTGGTGTGTCCTAGTTCAATTGACGGGACTTGCCTTGTCTCAAAATTATGCATCTTGAAATTGACCTTACTTTAGATTTGAAAAGTATTATTTCACGAGAGGGGCAGGAAACATTTGATTCCCCAGATAGTGTCTATTTACGGGCAGTGCCAAGTATCCGACCTAGACCCAAATACGTGCAAGCATGAGCCTGTCCTGAGCCACGACCCCAGCGTCAGTGTCAAATTAGTATCAGGGATTTGGTGTTAAGGTTTTCAAGTTCCTTATGTTTTGTTTTGCTTTGTTTTTAGCTTTTGAAAAAAAAAGTTTCATTTTTCAATGATAATTGAGTTCCTTCTCAGTCAACCACTATGCTAACATTTTGGGATCCAAAGATCCCCAGATATTTGAAAATAGAAAGCAAAGATGAAAATTACTGCTCTTAAGCTCTAGGGAAGGACATTCCATAAAAGTACATAAACTATAAGGACCGGAGCAATAGTATAGTGGGTTGGTTGTTTGCCTTGCCTTTGGCCAACCCCGTTCCATCCCTGGCACCCTACATGTCCCCTGATCCCGTCAGGAGTGAACCCTGAGCACAGAGCCAGGAGGAAGCCCTGACGATCACTGGGTATGGCCCCCCAAAAGAAAAAAAAAGTACATACGTTATCTCTCTATATTTTGTTAGAAGTTAAATTGGTATACCGGTAAAATGTCTTTGTAAGTCAAATAGTAACCAATACAGGGTGGATAAAATCCTGTCATTGATCATAAAAATGACTCAGCTGAGTTTTGGCAAATGCAGGTCCAATGAGCTGAAGCAAAACTGGATTATACTTATAGTGCACCAAAAAAAAAAAAAAAAAGATTGCATTTTATGCCAGCAGACCTCAGGTCAAATGACAGTTCTGCTGTTTATTATGTAACTGTTGATCTTTTAACTTTCCTTACCAGTTTGAGGACAGAAAACATGCCTTCTGTTATAGTCTCAGCACTGAACTAGCACCGGTTATTTAATAGACACCCGGATTTTTGGTGAATGATTTGTGCTACTCGTGACTTGAAATTTTTTTGTAAGTAGTTTGGATATAGGTACATGTGAGAGAAGGTAAAGAGTGATGGCGGCCTTCAGGGGAGATGAGGTGCTGAGGATCAAGCCCAGGTCCACTGCGTGCGAGGCAGGCACTGCACTTGCTGTACTATCGCCTCAGCTCCTCACACACTTTCTAAATGATTTACTAAAATCTTGCCATTTCAGAGGCCCATGAAGCGATTCATGTAGGTCTCCATCAGGTCTTAAATCTTTGGTCCCAGATAGTAGTCTCGGTGGGTAGGGTGCTTGCCTTGCTCATCGCCGACCCAGATTTGATCCCTGAGCACGAGGCTGTAATAAGCCCAGCGCACCACTCGGTGTGGCCAGGAAAAAACAAATCAACGAAAGCGTTGTACCTCAGTACCAGGATCCAACTGTATGTAGTGATTTCCTTACGATAGTTCTTAAGATTTCCTTTTCCTATATCATAAACAGTGCCTCAGTTCTCCCCATCCCGAAATTCAAGAGTAGTCTTCCACTTTCTGTTCCTTGAAGAGATTCCAAAACTTATCTGGTCCTTCTGCCCCCTTTTTAGGTAAAAACAACTTCCTCGCCTTTGGCATTGTTGAAGTGAACAGAAAGCTTCCCCCAGCTGCCCACGCATCCAGGCACCCCCCTCCGGCACCTTAGGGAAGCACCAGCATTAAGGAAAAACTTTCTGTTGTTTGTTTGGTTTTGGTTTTGGTTTTGGTTTTGGTTTCCTTTGTCTTGGGACCACACCCAGCAATACTGCTGTGGTGCTCTGTGCTCCGAAGTTACTCCTGGCTCAAGGGACCGTATGGGATGCCCAAGATCAAACCTGGGCCAGCTGCATGCAAGGCAGATGTCCTGCCCACGGTACCATCACTCAGGCCCCGGCTCAAAAACGTTTATGAAAATTAGCCAAAAAAGTATAGTCAGAAGGTGTAAAACATCCATCAGGGACTACTTTAATCATTTTACCATGGTTGTTGGAAGAAGATGGCCAGAAAAATAAGGAAAATCAAATGTGCTGAGGGAACAGCTGATGAAATATTAAAGGCAGCGACATTATCCTGTTCAATGTAGATCTGATGCAACAGTTACAAAAATAACCATATCAGTTGCAAACTTGGTGCCTTTATTTAATTTAGCGTATTTATTTTTGGTGTTTGGGCCCCACACGGTAGTTCTGTGGTGTTTCTCCTGACTGTGCTTGAGGGTCGCTCTCAGGGGTGCTCCGGTGATCACGGGGTCCCCCGCTGCTTCTCATGCGGGCAGTCTGTGGAGCTGTCCCTGGCCCAGGAGTCACTGCTGTTAATACGCTGGTTGCTCCTTTGAGCATTTGTATTTATATCTGGCATTTTGCATAGTCATGGTATTTATTGCTGTGGGTGTTGATAAAGAATGTTTGACTCTTCTGACTTCAGAGCAGTACTGTGAAATAAGCATGTTAGTGGAACGTGTAGTCGAAGAAACAGACACAGACCTCGGCTAGGTAACTTCTAAAAAGGATGAAGCGTGTTGTAAATTTAAATTGGTCAGTTTAAATTTGTAAGCTAAACCACTGACTTCAGAAACCTGATTTTCCCCCTTACTATTGTATTAGTTCATAATCTCAAAACTTGGAATACTAGATGAAATAATGTAAGTCTTATTAACCCTTGCAGAGTCCCTGTTTGTCTCTTCTCCAGGAAACTGGGTTTGTTTGTATCTGGGAAGAGAAACGCTCACTTGGGCAAAACAGGGCCTTTAACGGATACTGATACTTTCAGTGGCCTTCTACAATAAGCTCTTGAAGTTTGCTTTTCTTTTTTTTTGCGTACCTGATGTTTGCCAAGTTGGGGTACTGTCCCCTGGGGAAAGGAGGTGGGGTACCAGAATGATGAAGGGGGTCAAAAGCTGGAAGTTGGCAGGGGGGTGGTGCGGAATGTTTTGTGGGTTTTTTATTTGGTTGTTTGTTTTTAAAAGGGAAATGGGCGATATAAGCTTGGGAACCTCTGGAATAGTTGAATTTTGAAAGACGTTAAGAAAGTTTCTTGCAAACTGTCCTTAGATAGTCCGTATTGTATTGGACAGTGATCATCAGGAAGGAGAGGTCATAGTTAATATACATGTATCTTGGCTCAGATAACTCTTCTGGTTTTGTTTTGGGGCCACACCCAGCCATACTCAAGGGTCACTCCTGGCTCTGGCCTCGGGAATCACTCCTGGTATTGCTTGGGGAACCCTCTGGGATGCCTGAGATATGGCCTGGGCTTGGCCACATGCAAGGCACGCACCCCACCAGCCCTCAGATAACTCTCCTTGAACTGTTCTTAAATTCATCTAATGATTCCTTGATGCCCCTCTAGAGCAGAAATGTAAAACTTTGCACCTATATAGAATGAATTTATCTGAAGTTCTTTTATGTAAATAAGTTAATATTAAGAATGAGCCCCAAGGTATGGCTCCGCGATGGAGTGCCTGTTTGACGCATACGTAACCCCAAGTTCCAACCAACCCTGCACCAGAAACACACTTAACAGATGGAGAACTCCTTCAGTAGAAATGCAGTATGTTCATTTCTGGGTCGTGTCTAGATTCATTTCTAGGTCGTGCTTTTCACAGGCAACTTCAGTCCCAACAGGAGTGGTTTCCCAGCGGGCTTGTTCCTCACAGCCAGACAATGTCAAAAATATTTTTAATGCTGATAGTTTTGTTCCCTTCGATTTTCAGGATGATTGACTGGTTGTCCTGGCCGTTGGCTCAGCACGTGGACACGTGGGTGATCGCCCTCCTGAAAGGTCTGGCAGCTGTCCAGAAGTTCACTATTCTCATAGATGTTACTTTGCTGAAAATAGAACTGGTGAGTGGGAGTATATAAATCTATTCGAATGTACACATTTATCCATCTTTCTTTCTTTGTCCCTTTGTAGCATCTAATAGTGAGTATGTTCCTCCTTTGGGAATAATCTTGGATTATTAGAAGTTTAAAATGTTGTTAACTCATTAAAATGTTTCTGTTTTCAAGTAGTTGATATGCAAAAAGATATTCCTCTCATTTTTTCCTTGAATCTAGCTAATCAATTTTTCACTACCATTAATGTGCAAAACTATCTTTACACTTTCTCAGGTTGTTAAACCAAAAAAAATGAAACATTTAAGTTTTTCAGACCTTTCGTTTTCTGACCTGTCTGCAATGCTGGGCACAGTTGAATCACTCCCTCTTGAAGCTCATCACTCATCTCGTAACCAGGATGTCTTAGTTTTCTAGTTTTTGTCCTAACTCATTGGCTTCTTGGTTTCTGTTGGTAGATGTAACCCTAGAATATGTGGAATTCAGTCTGGAGGATTCAGTTCAATTCAGTCTGGAGGAGCACCAGGTTCAGCCCCCAGCACTGTGTGAGGTGTGACCCAGACCACCACTGGGTGGGACCCATACTCATTATTTTTAATATACTTTTTTATGTATTTATATATTTATTTATATACTATATATTATAGAGTATATATTTTATATATATTTATATATTATATATTTTTATATATAATAAAATAATACTCATTATTTTGATCCATACTCAGCTTGTTTTCTGGCTTCAACTCGTCCCTCAGGCCGAGGTGATGACTCACAGTACAGTGGGGAGTTCTGGGCTCACAGACCCCTTAGTTCTAGCTCAGCACACACTGTTCCCCGAGACTTCCCAAAATGATCCCTGAGTACCTCAGAGATGCCTCCCCCCAAAAAGAAAGAAAATCTCTACGTTAACAACTGCCAGGCTTCTTTCTATAGTCACTTACTCTCCATGAGCCCTGTGTTACATTGCCAGCTGTCTATTCCTGGATCTCATATAATTTATCTGCAGTGTAGCCCCTGAATTTTCCTCCCCAGGTGTGATATTCTGTGTCCTAATAAATGGCACCTTCACTTCCTCTGACCGAAAGCCTTAAAACTCTGCTGTCTGTCTCCTTTCCTTCCTTCTTCCCCCGTGTATTACAGAGCCTCGATATCCACCTTTCAGAGACATCCAGGGCTGAAACATAAGCAGTAGCTGAGGAGCTCCGGACTCAGCCCCCAGCACCGTGGGAGGTGTGGCCCGGAGCACCACTGGGTGTGACCCTAGAAGAAGTCCCCCCAACCTCCGCCCCCAAAAGATACAGGGCCAAGAGGTTCAGGCACCTGCCTAATGTCCAGCCAGTCTCTCTCCATCTCTGTCCCCTGGGTGTGACTCCCGAGCACAGAGCTGGGAGTAACTGCCAAACACCACTGGATGTGGCCCCAGACCCAAAGAAGTAAATAAACAGAATTGACCCAGACCCCCACAGCTTTCAGCCCAAGCATCCAAGCTGTCTTGACTCCTGCGTTGGTGCCCCAAGCCTCCTGCTGGATCTGGCCACGGCTGCAGTCACTACCTGAGTGTGGGTGTGGGGCGTCGCCAAGTAGTTGGCAGTTGTCACAGATGTCTGAACGTGGAACTGTCCCGACTTCATTCTGCATCAACCACAGACTGATTCCAGGGGGTTTCTGGCAACACTCCTATACATTTCTCAGACAAAAAGTGGCTTAAGTAGAGAAATCGTAAAAAGCTATGATCTACATAGTAAACCCGGCAAGATCACAGATTTTTGTTTGTTTGTTTGGGGGCCACACCCAGTGATGCGCAGGGTTACTCCTGGCTCTGCAGTCAGGAATCACTCCTGGCGGTGCTCAGGGGACCGTATGGGATGCCAGGATGGAACCCAGGTCTGCCACAGTAAGCCGTACCCACTGTACTATCTCTCTGGCCCCGGATCTGAGATGTTTTTGTGCCCCAGGACTTTGAACAGTGCTGAGCTCATTAGCAGGTGCTTATCGATAGGCGTTGAATGAGTAATGAACCAGGGAGCTGTACACCGCATGTACATGATTTGACAAGGTTTTACTTGTTCGTGGCATTGTGTTGGTTATGACTCTGAGTTCATTTAAACTCTGTGATTATGTCCCTCATCCATTTTCTTCCCTGGAGTTTAATGAGATCTGTTATGACAAAAGTTTTCCTGGAGGAAGAAGAATATTCATAGAAGTCATTGTGGCCCTGGGGAAGTAAGCACTGATTGGGTTGGTGGTTTCCTGCTCTCACAGTGGCTGTCTTGTCTTCTTTTGAAGGTTTTTAATCGACTTTGGTTTCCTCTTGTGAGACCTGGTGCTCTTGCAGTTCTTTCTCACATGCTGCTTAGTTTTCAGCATTCTCCTGAGGCTTTCCATTTGGTAAGTTATGACACACCGTTCTGCACTGAAAAATCTTGCTATAAGTTTTTAGATTAATATTGAGTCACCTTTGTAGTCAGTTAAAAAAAATTGCAAGTTAGTCCTAAATATGACTCGTCATAAAACTATGACTCCGGAGAAAACTGAGCATGTAGAATTTCCCTCCAGAGAATGTATTTTTCAGAATGTGTGAGTCTGATTAAAACTGTTCCACTTGAAGCCACTAAGGCAAGTGAATCTACTGCTCTCCATGAGAGATGCCCCGTGTCAGTGGCACCAATGGGTGCCAGCTACACCTGTGAACAGTGTAGGAAAAAATGGTAGAAAACCACTGTCAGGGGTGGGATTTGGGATTTGGTGAGCATGAAACAGTCTTATGCATGCAGCCAGAGTTCTCACTGCTCCTTTTTTTTTTTCAACACATCTCGTTGGCTCCACATAAAAATAAGTCCAGAGTCCCAGAAGTCCTGCCACTTTTAACCAACACCAGCATCACTAGTCTTTAGCCCTGGGGGGGTGGGGGGAGGGCATGTGTTATTTGGTTGGTTGGTTTTGGTTTGGTTTTTGTTTGGGGGGGGGGGGCTACACCTGACAGTGCTCAGGGGTTATTCCTGGCCGCACTAAGGACTCACCCCTGGCAGTGCTCAGAGGACCAAATGGGGTGCCGTGGATCAAAGCCAGCTTGGCCGCGTGCAAGGCAAGGACCTTACCTGCTATACGGTTGCTCCAGCCCCTGAATCACTAGCTTTGTTTGATTTGACTTGAGTTGTTTGATGGTCAGTTATTGCAGGTGATAAAAGAATGCTTTTTTTTGGAGACCTGTTTATCTGTCGTAAGCATCCCAGAAATTTAACAGAGCTTTATAGAGTAGAAACTTATTACCACACAGCTGTAGTATCAATTTCTTATGAATACTGACTGACCCACCACATCCAAATTCAGAGGAGATTCTGCTAAAGTACAGAGTTTTAGGTGCTGATTTTTAACTAAAAATAGAACTACCCTCAGGAAAGTAAAGCTTCACAGATACGCTATTCGGTGCCTCATTTCCATTTATGGAAAACACCAGCATCTTAAGTTCTGCAATAAGGAAGTCTTGCAAATAAGTAATTACATTATATGTGAGCACTTAGGTTGAGTGATCTTTGCTGTTAATTGCCGTAATTGGTGAATTTGAACATCAGTTAATGGCCTTATTTTGGTTACAGAAACAAAATCAAACTTTAGCTTATTAATAGATCTTCCAAGTAGAAACTCTTCCAGAGTGAAAACGTTTGTTTTGTCCCTGTCTTTGGGCACTTTAAAGAAAGGCTCTTCAAGGAAAGATTTATTTTCAGAACTTTAGAGGAGACTCCCTGACTGAATCATTCCTTCTGCTGTTAGATACTTTTCACAATGACACATTCCTTAGACTCTAGTTGGTCACTTAAGCGACATGCTCCACCTATTTCTTTCTTCACAGTTTTTAAAAAAAAAAAAATGGAAAACATCCCACCTCGTGTTACTTTTCTTCTGTTGTTGAAAAAGTAATTGAAGTACCATTGTTGGCTGTGAAAGCTTTTACTGAAATAAATGCAGTTTATTTAAGGAATAGTTAGATCTAAAATTGAAAATGATGGGGCTGAGGGTATGGACCCAGGTATGCCTGCTACTCAATTAAAACTTAACTTGGGCATTTAGTTCTCTTGAAGTAGTCAAGGCTGTTTAGAACTCTTAACTCGGCAAGGATTCATCTTAGCGGGTTACTCAGGATGGACAAGAATCTGTGATCACTTGCTCCCGAGTATTTTAAAACAAACCAAGATTGATGTTATCATATGTGAGATACTGAGTTGCTTTTCTTGTATTTTTATATATAGAAAAATTATTTTTAAAGCTATGGCAGATGGTAGTAAGAAAAGAAAAAATAAACAACTTCTAATTAAAGGTTTTATATATTTCCTTAAATGGCAACTTTAGTTTACTAGGTATCGTAACACTGTTGACAGACACATAGATTTATTCAATCAAAAATCAACTTTTTAAATTGTTTAGAACTAAAACGTATTGAAACTCTAGCACAAAGTAGAATGGTTATGGGGATACTATTTAAGAATGTAATTTTTTAAATTTTTTGAAATGTTTTCCAATGTAGACAAACCACAAATCAATCCAATTACTGATGCCCATGTTAAAACTACAGATTACTCAGAACTTTATTCTCACCTTGAGTTAACAACACTCCAAGAATGTACTAGAAATAGAACATTTGTTACTATCATATAAGTATAAATGTGTGGTATCATAATTAGGTGGAATAGGCATAGCACTGAATTAATGAAATTGACTTTTTGGAAGGCAGCTATGCTAACCACTATCCCTCCAAAGCAGCATGGAATTGACTGTCACTGTCACTGTCCTCCCGTTGTTCATCGATTTGCTCGAGCGGGCCCAGCAATGTCTCCATTGTGAGACTTGTTACTGTGTTTGGCATATTGAATACATCACGGGTAGCTTGCCAGGCCTTGCCGTGCGTACCTTGTTTTATTTTCCTGGTAACCTCTGACAAACGTGATAACCCAGTAACCCAATTTTTTATTTATAGATGTAATAATTTATTATTTAAAATTATTATATAAAATAACATTGTACTTATCAATACTAATATCTTGCTTTATTTTCTTGGTAACAAACATGATGACCCAACACTGCTTTTTTTATTTATAGTTGGAATAATTTATTATCTATTCTTATAAAATAACATTGTGCTTATCAATACTGCTTGTATTCTACATACTTATGAACAATAATTAGATTTTCCTCTTTAACTCAAATTCCTTAAAAATAATAGAAATATTAGATCTGTTTATTTTTCGACCCATCACCTCATTTTGTATGTGGGGATTATTGTTAGTAAGAATTTTTAGAACATTAGCGCGCATCCCTAAACTAATCTAAAAGAAAAATAATCCCATAACTGAGCTGTAATTTTAGTAACAAGCAAAAAGTTATTTCTAAGACTTAGTTGAGGTAGATTTTCTGTACAGCATATATAGAATTCTTTCAAGTGAAAAGTATAAATTTCACACTAGATGGAGCTCTTAAGCCAATTCTAAATTTATCGTTTAAAAGCTTGGTCCTGATGTAGGATTTAGTAAATGGAATAGCCCTGATTTTTTTTTCTTTTTTTTTTTAATCATATGAATAGAAGTTACAAGGGCCCTGATTTTCCCCACCCCCCACCCCCCACTCAAGGCGTTTTTTTAAAATGGTACCACTGGGCTGGTGAGAAGGTGCAGTAGTAAAGCGTGAGACCTGGTTTTGGTCCCCAGCATTGGAAAAACAAAAAATAGAGAGTTTATTGCCGATTTCTGTAAATTGGGAAATGTCTTTATTCTCTCGGTCTCTGTAGGTGGTTCCCCACGTGGTTAATTTGGTTCATTCCTTCCGAAGCGATGGCCTGTCCTCCAGCACCGCCTTCCTGGTGCAGCTGACCGAACTGGTCCACTGCATGATGTATCATTACTCTGGATTTCCAGACCTCTATGAACCTATTCTGGAAGCAATAAAGGTACGAAAATAAAAATAGTTGCGTCAATATTTGCAAAACGACAGATTAGGATAGGCTAGGCTAGGCTAGGCTAGGCTAGACTGGAGGGATAGCACAGCAGGTAGGGCGTTTGCCTTGCACTTGGCCGACCCTAGTTCGATTCCTCTACCCCTCTCGGAGAGCCCAGCAAGCTACCAAGACTATCCCACCCACACGGCAAAGCCTGGCAAGCTACCCGTGATTTATTGGATATACCAAACACAGTAACAAGAAGTCTCACGATGGAGACGTTACTGGGCCCACTCGAGCAACTCGATGAACAACAGGAGGACAGTGACAGTGACAGTGACAGGTGAATGTGGGATAAGCATTCTTAGAACCAACTCTTCATACTCTTATGGTAAAAAGCTTTTTTTCTGCGGGGAGGGGGGAGGGCAGAGAGTGGAGAAATGCCATTAGAATCAAGGGCTGACCCCAGTTCAATCACCAGCATTGTATTTGGTTCCCCGGATATCATCAGGAGTGACCCTGGGGTACCGCCAAGCCACCCACCCACCCAGAAAAGAAAATGTATTTATGTTTGCCATCTGTTTGGTTATCTGATGATTGGTTGGCTGCCACCAGTGATTACAGAGCTAAAGGGGAAAATGAAAGGCTAGATACCAATGGGAGAAATTTCTTCATGGTGCTAATTTAGCAAAAATCATTTATATTTTTAAACTGGTTTTGTCTTTCGTAATCCATAGGATTTTCCTAAGCCCAGTGAAGAGAAGATTAAATTGATTCTCAATCAAAGTGCCTGGACTTCTCAATCAAATTCTTTGGCATCTTGCTTATCTAGACTTTCTGGAAAATCTGAAACTGGAAAAACTGGTCTTATTAACCTCGGAAATACGTGTTATATGAACAGTGTTATACAAGCATTGTTTATGGCCACTGAGTAAGTTTAAACTCGGACCTTTTCTTTTCACCTGTAGATACGGAGACATACTGATGAGCTGTCAGGTGATGGGGTTGTCTTCAGAGTGTTAACCATTTCACAGAACTGATATCTTCAGGAGTGGTGTTGCTTCCAGTCCTCCGGAACAAAGTTAAAATATTAACTTATATAATTTGGCATTTATTACATTCAGAATGTCACTCTCAAATTACTGACTTAATATTTACTAGTATAACATAAAGATTGACTAAGTATATTCCTTTGTACTATCTCTCTGCCCGTGTGTTATTTTGGTCTTTATAGCAATTTTTAAAAAAAAAAATTTATTAGAGGCACCGTGGCTTGCAGTACTATTAATGACAGATAGGGTTTCGTGCCTGGAAAATTCCAGCACACTTACACCCACTCCCCACCCCCCCAGGCTGTAGTACCTTTTTCTCATCCTGTGCGAGAACCCCAGTCGTTCAGGCACTTTTATTTACTTGAAGCCACTTTTCATAATGATATGCCATGAGGAAATAGCATGCCATTATCAAAAGCCACTTCAAGCAAAAACTTTATTTCTGTATGTTGTACGACTGTATAAAATACTGATTAAGAAGAACACAGTTATGCTTTGTTGCGCAATTTTTTTTCTCCATTCACTCTAACTGTGGTATGTTTCGATGGCGGTATGTTTTTCATTTCATGCAGACTTGAAGGAATGGAAAAGTTGCTTACTCAAGTTATTAATAGCAGCCTATTTCTAAGCACTGATCCAGGGCTGGAGCGATAGCACAGCGGGTAGGGTGTTTGCCGTGCACGTGGCCAACCCAGGTTCGATTCCTGCCTCCCTCTCGGAGAGCCCGGCAAGTTGCCGAGAGTATCCCACCCGCACGGCAGAGCCTGGCAAGCTCCCCGTGGCATATTTGATATGCCAAACACAGTAACAACAAGTCTGATAACAGAGATGTTACTGGTGCCCGCTCGAGCGAATCTATGAACAGCAGGAGGACAGTGCTACAATGCCACCATCCAGAAATAGGAATGAGGGGTCAGAAAGCTCCTCCAAGGCGCCTGCCATGCACATAGCCCAGCCCCGTTAGGTCCCCAGCACTGCGGATGTTCTCTCCAGCACCTCCAGACTCATTCCTGAGCAGAACCAGGATTGGTCGGTCTCTGGGCACTACCAGGTATGGTCCGTCCACCCGTGCCACAGGCATGTCATGTCACACCCCACCCCTGTACCAACACCCCTCCAGAAAAATAATGAAAAAGAAAGAAAAGCACTTAGGTTATTTCCATCAGAAATAGCTATTACGCCAGGAGTGTTTTACTTCTATTTCTTCTTTCTTCACTGCATTGTACATAGTGATAGGTGAAGGGCCCAAGGTTAGTGAAGACAATAAGCTCTTTACTGTTGTGCAAGGGTCACACCTAGTATTACCCAGGGGGCCTCCAAGGCAACACCCAGTGACTCCTTGGGATTTGTGGTACGCGAGACCAAAGCGGATCAGACACATTCAGGGCAGGTTCCTCACCCCTGTACTGTCTCTCCGCCCCTGATAATATGTTCTTGGACTAACTCTTTTACTTGTTTTTTTTGTTGTTGTTGTTGTTGCTGTTGCTTTTTTAAATAGTGGAGTTCATGCCCAATTCAATCAGCTAATCAGTGGCTGAGTAAATAGCAGTATTCCTACATTTAAAAAAAAAAGCTTATAAGTGCACGTGTGTTTTCTATGTATATACACAGTCTTTATATTTTATTCTCTTTGCAGTTTCAGGAGACAAGTATTATCTTTAAATTTAAATGGGTGCAATTCATTAATGAAAAAGCTCCAGCATCTTTTTGCATTTTTGGCTCATACCCAGGTGAGTGTGTTTTTGGTACGTGTATGTTGACTTCGTTGTTGCCATCTTTGAACTTCACGGAATGTGGTGAACGTTTTTAGCTGATGAGGGAATAGGGGTGTCTCTACCCGCACATCTAGGTCATCAGCAAGTGCTAAGGAGGGCCTCTGAAATGCAAGGGTACCGGGATATGCCCTGGGTTTTAATTTCTTTAATAGTTACAGATCAAAAACTAATAGATGGGAGTAAGTTGTCACTCCGCAGAGTCCCCTTGAAAGATGCTCTGTGTGGTCTGTGGTTACCTCTAGAGACGCACAAGGGGCGCATTGTTTAAGTTTTGAGCAGTGATACCAATATATATTATTTACAAATAACGCATTGTTATTTTCTGGGTTTTTCTGATTTTCGTGATTTCATAGAAGTCAAAAAGAGGTGACAGTTGGAGGCAATAGAAGATTTTAATCGATGAGATTGAGTTGATGGAAATATCTTATTTCCTACTACAAATGGGGAAGTAATCTTGATTATAACTTCTTGAGAAAAAGGGTGATGATTATGGTCTATGAGTAATGAAAGAGATAAGAGATAGTTTTATAGTTCGCAGGGGGAAATGCAGTTATGAAGTTAACGTCGCAAGATACAGGGAAATGCAGATCTTCCTTCTAAGTCCTGAGCTTAATTTCCTACTAAACTCACTTAGGTATTTGCTTCATCACTAATCTAAATTCACTGTATACTGTGCATAATACATATATATAGGTATATTTGTCCGTATAAGTATATGTTGCATAAGCTATGTTAACTTGACATGAGAGAGAGTGCTAGTCCTGGTACTAAGAATCAGGCCTGTAACCCTCTGCTGTTAATTTCGGATGATATGATTAAAAGTTGCCTGATTTACGTCTAATTTTACCTGCCCTCTTGTTTGACCCTTTTTAGTCGAGGTTAAATGTGTTGCGTTCTTCAGTAATCCACATTAAACATTATAAATTCAGGAGGCCGGAGCAATAGTACAGTGGGTAAGGCATTTGCGTTGTACGTGGCTGACCGACCAGGTTCAATCCCCAGCATCCCATCTGGTCCCCCTGAGCACTGCCAGCACGGTAATTTTTGAGTACAGAGCCAGGAGTACCCTGAGCATCGCCAGGCATGACCCAAAAGCAAAAAAGAAAAAAAAATTAATAAATAAAAGACATTCTAAATTCAGATTTCCGTTGTTTGGTTTATAAAGGTGTGAGAGTCACTTTGTCATTGTATTTTCTCTTTGGTATCAGAGAGAAGCCTACGCGCCGCGAATATTCTTCGAGGCTTCCAGACCGCCATGGTTCACCCCCAGGTCCCAGCAGGACTGCTCTGAGTACCTCAGGTTTCTACTGGACAGGTGAAAAGTATTTGTATCCTGATGGTCTGGGTTGTGCCCTTCCGTTCCAGGTTTATTTTTGTGGAACTTTTTTTTGACCTTTGGAATTATTTTCATTTATTTTATGTTACCAGTTTCTTTTGTTTTTCATTTGGATTCCTTTTTGGATTTTCTGGCTTTCGACAGCTTATTCACAGAGCGGTGTGGTAGGGGCTGGAGTGATCAGACAGCAGATAGGATGCTTGCCTCGAACCCGTGTTGGATCCCTGACATCCCGTGTGGCCCCTGAGCACTGTGGGGTGTGCACTCTCTTCCCTCCCCTTCCCCCGGAGGGAAAAAGGGTATGGTACACAGAACCCTAGGGGTTCCCATATACTTGGGCCACATCTTCCTTTTCCCAACTCCGTGCCAACTATATATATATATACAGTTGAGGTTAGATAGCACAGCGGGTAGGGCATTCGCCTTACAAGCGGCCAACATGGCCGACCCGAGTTCGATTCCTCCGCCCCTCTTGGAGAGCCCGGCAAGCTACCGAGAGTATTCGATATGCCAGACACAGTAACAACAAAGTTTCCAATGGAGACATTACTGGGCCCACTCGAGCAAATTGATGATCAACGGGAGGGCCTTTACTTTTACTTACTTCTAAATCAACATTCCACAGTAGATTGAATGGATAGCAGATATTATGACCCAGCTGGCTCTTACTAAGCCATATTCTTTAAATACTTACAAAATGTAAAACAAGACCATTCTTCTCACTAAAACTTTTGGGTAGTGGACCCCTGAGCACTCAGGAGTAAGCCCGGAGCACAGCCAGGTAGGACCCAGACCCTGCCCTACCCCCTCACACCACACCCTGCCCCCTAGTGGAGAAAAGATCTTTCTGCTTCTCCTTGCTGACTTCCTTCTGTTGTTTAACTAGTAAATTCAGTGGAACTCGGCAAATGGAATTTCTGTCTTCCATTCAACTAAGGAAATAGGTGGAGTGGCAAAGGTCATGAAAGTCACCCCATATAGGTAGTTCTATCCTGGTAAGTGCTATAAAACAGTAGGTTGGGGCTGGAGCGATAGCATAGTGGGTAGGGCATTTGCCTTGCATGCGGCCGACCTGGGTTTGATTCCCAGTATCCCACATGGTCCCCCGAGCACCGCCAGGAGTCATTCCTGAGTGCATGAGCCAGGAGTAACCCCTGTGCATCACCGGGTTTCACCCAAAAAGCAAAAAAAAAAAAAAAAAAAGCGAAAAAGAAAAAACAGTAGGATGAAGCAAACGAAATGAGAATCGACCCTAAGAGCCCTTAACCTCTCTGTGTTCTATCCTTCCTTTTGATTAAAAGAAGAAAAGCTTTGTTTTTATTTATTTTTTAAATTCTGCACCGTATTGGATTAAGTAATCGTAACACTTGGGTGATTGCACTGCCGCGGCTGTTCCTGAGTAGAAAGGGAGGGATGGAGGGATGACGCGGCTCTAACGCTCTGCTCGCCCGCAGGCTGCACGAGGAGGAGAAGGTCCTGAAGGCTCAGTCTCCGCCCAGCCTTCCCGACAGCCTGGAGTTGGGCGAGACCTCCTTACAAGAGGTCGCCAGCAAGGCCGCCCTCCTCCCCGAGACCCCCGGGCCCGCTGACGCTGAGAAGACCCTGATAGAAAGGATGTTTGTGGGAAAGCTGCGAACGCACATATGTTGTTTGAACTGCCGGAGTACCTCACAGAAGGTGGAAGCTTTCACGGACCTCTCCCTTGCCTTCTGCCCTTCCTCTGCCGTGGAGAACTTGTCTTTCCCCGAGCCGGCGGCGTCCCTGAGTCCACAGTACACGATGGACGGTGAGCGGATGCAGGCCAGCGTGGCCGGTGCCCCCGAAGACCTGGGCATCTTCGACGTGGAGACGGCGGCCTTCGTGTGCGACCCGGCTCTGAGCGACAGCCTGCTGGGCAGCCCTGCCCGCGACCTGCCCGACCCCGACCCCGCCTCTGACCCCCGCCCGGCCAGCAAGATCCTGGCGACGAAGGATGTACCTCAGAAACCCGGAGGGGAAACCCCGCCTTCAGTAACCGACTTACTAAATTATTTTTTGGCTCCTGAAATTCTTACTGGTGACAACCAATATTACTGCGAAAACTGTGCCTCTCTCCAAAATGCCGAGAAAACCATGCAGATCACCGAGGAACCCGAGTACCTTATTCTCACTCTCCTGAGGTTTTCCTATGATCAGAAGTACCACGTGCGGAGGAAAATCTTAGACAACGTGTCCCTGCCGCTGCTCCTCGAGTTGCCAGTGAAAAGAACTTCTTCCCTGTCTTCCCTGGCCGAGAGCTGGTCTCTGGATGTCGACTTCACCGACATCAGCGAGAACCTCGCCAAAAAGCTGAAGCCTTCGGGGACGGATGACAGCTGCTGCCCCAAGCTGGTGCCCTATCTCCTGAGCTCCGTGGTGGTGCACTCGGGCATCTCCTCCGAGAGCGGGCATTACTACTCCTACGCCAGGAACGTCACGGGGACGGAGCCCGCGGCGTGCCAGATGTGCCACCCGTCGGACAGCCTGGCCTTCGCACCCGCCCAGGCCCACCTGCTGGGCGAACAGAGCCCCGGCCCCGTGATCGAGCAGGACCTAGAAAACAACGACGTGTCAAAGGAGTGGTTCTTGTTTAATGACAGCAGGGTGACGTTCACTTCCTTTCAGTCAGTCCAGAAAATCACGAGCAGGTTTCCAAAGGATACAGCTTACGTGCTTTTGTATAAAAAACAGAATCTCACGAACAGTTTAGGGGACAATAATTCAGCCAGTGGACTCTGGGTAAATGGAGACCCACCTCTGCAGAAAGAACTTATGGATGCAATTACAAAAGACAATAAACTGTATTTACAGGTAAGTCAAACATAAAAGGCTTCGGCATTGGTGGAGAATATCTAAGCATTTGACAGGTGATTCGGTGAATGCCCTAAATCCAACTTCTGCGTTTTCAGCAGTAACTGAAATGTCTTATAGAGTGGAGTGGAAATTCTGAAATTTTTTGAGTCGAGTTTTTATGAATTGTGTTCACTTGTATAATAAAATTGTCTTTATTTTCTAATGTTATAAATTAATGAAAAATCATCCTACCAGTGCACTATTTGAAGACCTTATGTGTTTTTAATTATAAGAGATGTGATGATAAAATCATGCTGTACAGAAATGAAGAGGTCTTCATGCAATGAAAATATCTTCCACTTCCAACGTAAACAACTTTAGGTATTTTGATGGACTTTCTATGACTGTTTTGAGGGTTATAGATAAAAGCCATGAGAAAGGGTAAGTTTAAGGATATTTGTAGTCTGTGAAAATGAACAGTAAAACCAAGGAGATGATAGAACAGTAAGTAAACAAAAGTCATGGAATAAAGGAAAACTTCCCATGAGTTACCACTTGGCAACAAGTTGGTAATCTTATTTCTTTACAGTTAATACCAATCTAGGTGATGTTTGTTTGCTGTGAACCTGCTAGCTGGCCATCCACATAAAGAGCCAAAAGTACATTACAGATGAATATAGATATATTAATTCGTGTGACTTGATGAGCTTAAGTAAATTCCTAAAATGTCCCAGAAATTTACAACCCCCCTGAAAGATACAGATAGAATGAGAGAAGAAATGGATGGGGAAGTACTGTTTTATACAAGGCTCGGACCGGAATTGAGACTGGTAGGATGCCTCTCAAGTGTGAGGCCCTCACACTCAATTCCCAGCAACACAAAGAAAATTTTTAAATAAAACACTCTGAGTTGCTGGAGCGGTAGTACAGCGGTAGGGCATTTGCCTTGCACGCGGCCAGCCCGGCTGACCCGGGTTCGATTTCTCCGCCACTCTTGGAGAGCCTGACAAGCTACCAAGAGTATCTCGCCTGCACCGAAAAGCCTGGCAAGCTACCCGTGGTGTATTCCATATGCCATACACAGTAACAACAAGTCTCACAGTGGAGACATTACTGGGCCCACCCAGCAAATCGACGAACAACGGGAGGACAGTGCTATAGTGCTATTCTGTGTGCCTGAGGAATAGTGCAGAGGTAGTAATGTACCGTGCATTATGGCCACCCCTGCAATTCCCGTTCAGTTCCCGGCATCCCATGTGATCCCCCTAGCACCACCAGGAGTAATTCCTGAGTAACGTCTAATTATTGCTCAAACCTCTGCCACACACACCGAAACAATTTTTTTTTAAATAATAAAATACTCAGACCTGGAAAGATGCTGTAACAGGTAGGGCACTTGCCATGCACACGGCTGCCCTGGGTTTAATCCCCAGCTCCCCATATGGTCCCCTGGGCACTGCTGGGTGTGAAATTTTAAAGTGGTAGACCCAGTACTTGATGGACGCAAGTCACTGCTAACAATTCTACCCTCCAGTCAAGGAGGCAGCAGAGGAAAGCAACCATGTCCCTGCTAGATGCCACGTAGGCACCAGCTACGGGTCGCCCTGATTCCTGAAGGTCGGAGTGATAGACACTGGAATAGAAATGTCCTGTCCTAGAAAATAGAGAACAGAGGACCCAGTGCAATCTTGATTTTAGGAAATAAGTAAATTGTTTATTTGCAGTTGGCTGTCAGTGGTATTTATCAGGGAAGAGGCATGGTTTTTGGAAAGATGAATATCTAATTTCTGTGATTCCAGTACTGTAAGCTCTTACAACCATAGCAACCAGTTAAGCTGCTACCTCCCTTTAAATGACTTTCTAGCTTAGCTGTCATAATGTACCCCATCACATCCTAGTTTTACAATATTTGAATGTGACAGCCGTGCTTTCCATGATGTTTTAAGATCCTTACATCACTATGAAGGGAAAGGTATTCTGTGTTTTGTAAATTCAGGTTTTTAATGTTGCACAGTTGTTCTCAATTGCACTTTAAATCTCAGATTGCAACTTAATCTAAAAGATGTTTCCAAATTGGTCTGAGAGATGTATGTACCTGTATTAAGTCTGTTAAAATTTCATTACCAGGTGTTTTTTCTTAAGTTGCAATAAACGACTCAGGAATGTACATATATTTAGGTTTCCTACTTTTTTTGTTGTTTATTTGTTTTGGTTTTGAGCCACACCAAACTGCTTCTGGTTCTGCACATTTAAACCTGAGCATCAAACAGCCAGACCTGCACTGCTCAGGGATCATTCATGCTGGGCTCGTGGGACCTATATGTGGTGCCAGTGATTGAACCGGGGCTGGCCAGGTGCAAGTGCCCAGCCCACTGTGCCTTTTCATAGTACAGTGATGTCATCGGCAGGGTTTGGAATTGGGAGCTTCCTCATACATTTACCCCATTCACTTTGGTTTTGGGGTTGTTTTTTGTTGTTGTTTTGTTTTGTTGTTGTTGTTGCTTTTTGGGTCACACCCAGTGGTACAAGGGGTTACTCCTGGCTCCGCACTCAGGAATCACCCCTGCCGGTGCTCGGGGAACCACATGGGACTCCGGGAATCGAACCCGAGTCAGTGCCATGCAAGGCAAACGCCCTACCCACTGTGCCATCACTCCAGCCCCAACCCATTCACTTTGGATTCATAGTTTGTGTAAGAGACTGTTATGGCTTCCCTATTTCACTGGTGAGCACTTCGCATAATGCATCTCTGCAACATAGTACCTATGTCCAAAGAACTAAAATGAACGGGTTTTTTCCTACTTTTATCCATTAAGCTTCTGATTTGGCTTCTCCACTGACCATGTTTATATAAATATTTAAGAAGGAAAAGAAGAATATCACTCTTTTGGAAATTGTATTGAAATAAGCTTCGTCTCAGAAGCAATAGAGTTATCGGAAATTGTATTGAAATAAGCTTCGTCTCAGAAGCAATAGAGTTATCCTTTTTTTGCATTTTGATGTAAAGGTAAAGGCCCTCCCGTTGATCGTCGATTTGCTCGAGCGGGCCCAGTAACGTCTCCATTGGAGACCTTGTTGTTACTGTGTTTGGCATATCCAATACCTCAAGGGGAGCTTACCAGGCTCTGCGGTGCATTTTGATATACACTGTATATATTTTATTTCCTTAACAATTGTTGGGAGGAACTTTGTGCTTAACAAAGTTCAATTACATTTTATCGTTTTGTTTCTGTTTTGGAGTCATGCCCAGCGATGCTCAGGGCTGACTCCTGGCTCTGCACTCAGGAATCACTCCTGGCAGCTCAGGGTACCATGTGGGATGTCAGGGATCGAACCCTGCTGGGCTACCTGTAAGGCAAACACCCTATTCACTGTACTATTGCTCCAGCCCCAGAGTTAACTGTCTTTTGAACAGCTCTTCCAGCCGATGACATCTAACAAGTTCAGAGTAATATTGTTACCTGTGACCCTGAGACATTTTTTAAAGGAAACTGACCTCACTTGAAAATTAACCCGGGCCAGAATGCTGTGTTTTCTCCCAAGGAGAAGTGGTAGTTTTAGAATCCAGTTCACAGCTTGGCAGGTGAAGGGGCCATGTTTATTTGTTCTCTTTGGAATTTAGTGCCTAATGTGTTTTAAGCTAAGATTACCAGTATTTAGTCATTATCTAAATAATACCAGGCACATGGATGAATACGTCTGGTTTCTGATAAAAAAAAAAAAAGTTACAATATTATTGAATTTAGGCCACCCCCCTCCCCTGATGGGGAGTTTCTTTTCCTTCCCTTTCTAATTACCAATAAGCCTTTCTATTTCAGAAAAAAAAGTTCTAATAGGTGCCGGAGTGATAATATGGCAGGGAGGGCGTTTGCCTTGCACTGCTGCCGACCAGTTTAATCCCTGGCATCACATATGGTCCCCCAAGCACCAAGTAGAGTAATTCCTGAGTGCAGAGCCAAGTAACCCCTGAGCATAGCTGGGTGTGACCCAAAAAGCAAAAAAAAAAAAAAAATTCTAGTCATCTCTTAGGGAAAAATTTGTAATGCTACTTAAGAAAATAAACTCCAAACCCTTTTTTTTCCCCCATCCACTTTTCCCGAGCACTTGCAGGGGTCACCTTGGTATATTTGGGGAAGATTCATGTGGTCTATATTTTTTGTGTCTTAAGTTTTGCAGGGGTCTGGAGCAATAGCACAGCGGGTAGGGTGTTTGCCTTGCACTCCTCCAACCCGGGTTCGATTCTCAGCATCCCATATGGTCCCCCAAGCAGCACCACCAGGAGTAATTCCTGAGTGCACGAGCCAGGAGTGATCCCTGTGCATCGCTGGGTGTGACCCAAAAAGAAAAGGGAAAAAAAAAAAACAGATTTGCAGGATGCTTCTGAAAGAAGGTGATGCCAGCTTTTAAGTAGTCACATAGATGATAGCCCTCTCCGTTGCGTTTTGACTTTTAATTTCATCCAAGTTCCTTTTCCTCGCAGGAGCAAGAGTTGAACGCGCGGGCCCGGGCCCTGCAAGCCGCATCTGCCTCCTGCTCCTTCCGGCCCAACGGATTCGACGACAACGACCCGCCGGGAAGCTGTGGACCGAGTGGGGGCGGTGGGGGCGGTGGCTTCAACGCCGTGGGCAGGCTGGTGTTTTGATCCGAACTGCACTGATACGAGATAGCCAATACTGTGACGGTTCAAACGTCAGACTGTAACGAATATCAGACCTACCCTTTATTTTTTTTTTCTTTCCATTAGACCCTTCTACTTTGAAGAAAACACACTCAGCGCTTGTTTTGATTTTCTTGACAATACATTTATTAACAAAACGTGCATCATGGGGAAAAAAAAAATCTACCTCTTAAAATTCCATTTGCTTTTATAGTTTAGACATGCTCGACCAAAAATTGTCAGAGGAAAATGAAAAGTGTACCTGGTCCCTAATTAAGCTGCATTAAATTTAGTAGACGCATTTAAATGTTCTTTAATCCTTGGTTTTACTTAACAAAAAGGTAAAGTTTGTTTAGTATCCTTTGTAGAATTGATGTTAAAAGTGGTAGAAATACTGTGGTAATTTTTTTTAAGAAAAAAAAAAGGAAGAATGCTTTGTTTCCAATGTAGTTACCTGATTACTAAGTTCCAATCCTTGAAAATACTAGAGATGATACAGTCTCTTCTGAAGGCAATAATAGTTTCTCAAGCTCTCGGACTTTTCAGGGTTTTATTTCTTGCTGTCTTCAGCATCACTGTATCTGCGTTTCAAGAACAAATGTTTTTTTAAAAGGATTATTTATACATACGTGCTGACTTGATCTTAAGAGTGCATGATTCTGTAGAAACGACATTTTTACCTAAGAATTGCTAACTTTGTAGTGTTTCTAATTGTTTAAGGATCTTGAATTTCTATTTCAGGGAGTATATCTTCTGTGTGTTTGGAAGGAGGTGAGTTCTGTATGTGCCTTGCAGTACTGTAATTCAAAAAATAGGAATCTTTGGCTGCGGAAAAGCTTCTTTTTTTTTTTTAATGAAATGTTAGGAAGTAATTTTTGTGCTAACATGAACATTATAACTTTTTGAGAGGTATTAGATTTTCTTGAAGTAAAATCTGATGGCTCTAAATCAATAATTGTGATTATTTTTAACTTTTGGATGAATTCAGAAGTGAACCTGATCGGGGGAAAAAAAAAATCTTTGATTTTATTACTTGATCCTCCAAATATTAAACATCGATCACATATTTTCAGAGGTACGTTTGGTTGTTTTCCTTAGTTTGTTTTTTGTTTTCATTGGAGTTTGCACAGTTATTTCGGAGTTCAGATAAAGTGTTAAAGTGCAGGACCTGCCATCCTGCGTTTTCAGAAACGGGAAACAAATGCCTCCTCCCGGGACTTGATTATACAATGGTCTGGAGTTATCCTCACCACCACCACCCCGCCCCACCCCCACCCCCCAAGCCCCAGCGGGCTTCTTTCCCTAAACATTGAACTTACCGTACGCCATCATACATTGTTCGAAGATTGGCCTTTATTTATTTTGAAAACATTTTATGGAAAGAATGTTCCTTAGTAATTTGGGGGTTATCTTTTTTCCCAAGCTTTCGGCAGCTGAAACAGAACTCCCCTGTCCTCATTCCACTCCCTCCCACCCCTAACCTGTTTCCAGCCCCAAAGAAGATTAGGAAAACCGGTGGATTAATTGAAAACTGAAAATAGTTTGCAGAATTGAAAGTCAACTCCCTGCAAACACAGTAGCCAGTGACATTCTCTGGCTTGCCTCTGGATCTTTTTGTTTGTTTTGTGAGGCCAGGCCTGCCTCTGCCTCAGGGGTCACTCCTGGCTCACTCAAGGTGCTGGGGCTCAAACCAGGTTCGGCTGTGTGCAAGGCAAACCCCCTCCCCACTGAACTATCACTGCAGCCCCTCCTGTTGGCAGTTTCTCAGCTTCCGGATGGGTTTAGTTATTCGCTGACAAGATCATGGTTTATCGTCAGATGACATCAGCCAGCATTTACTGAAATTGGTAAAGTCCTTTAATACTTGGTGACTCACGAGAACCAGGCTCAGCTGAGGAAGGGCAATTAGACCAACTTAGTTTTCTCTCTGAAGATCACATCATTAAAGATTTTGTTGTCAAATGTATGTGTTAAATTTAATAATAATACTGAGGCTTTTGTAGATGATAACTTTCTACCAATACCAAAGATTTGAAGTAAATGACTGCCTTTAAACACTACACTGAAAGTGTAGTGGCATTAAATATTAACCTGAATTGAAAGGATACCTTTGAAGAGGAATCAGATGGAAGAATTTCAGAATAATCAGAAGTTTCACTCATAAACCTAACTGGGGTGCTGAAGCGATAGCACAGCGGGTAGGGCGTTTGCCTTGCATGTGGCCAACCCAGGTTTGATTCCCAGCATCCCATATGGTCCCCTGAGCACCACCAGGTGTAACTCCTGAGTGCAGAGCCAGGAGGAACCCCTGAGCATCGCCGAGTGTGACCAAAAAAGAAAAAAAGAATGTACTTGGGGTCAGAGCAATAGTACAGTGGGAATCACACTTGCCTTGCATGCAGCCAGTCGGGGTTCGATTACCAGCACCCCCCAATACCCCAACACCACCAGGACTCATCCCTGAGCACCACTGAGTGTGACCCACCCACCACCCCACCACCCCAGATAAATAGTGCAGTCACCAGCAAAATGAGGCTTCACCACTATCAAAAAGCCATCTTGAAATTTTTTTAAACGGTGGGCACGGAATACTAGTACGGCAGGTAAGGCACTTGCATTGCACACAGCTGACCCGGGTTCGATTCCTGGCACCATGTATGGTTCCTCTGAGCCCTACCAAGAGTGATCCCTGAGCACTGTAGGCCCAGAGCACTTAAGAGTATGGCCCATCTGCCTCTCCTCAGCCCTAAAAACAATAAAAGACTCCCCTCTTTTATCTCCTTGCATGGGAAGGGAGGGGGGGGGGGCGGTCGGCAGGAGTTCAGATTTCTCGGGCTTAAGTATTCCTGAAACAGAACACTTGAGCCACACATTAGAAACACTTGTTAGGAAATGCTTCTATCAGTAACATCATCTGGAGGATAAAGGTTAAACCTTGGATAAGGAAGCCCAAAACGAAGAGGTTAAGTGAAGCGGGAAGCCGTTTAAAGGTACCCCTGTGAAGGGTTAACTGTAGGGGGTAAAGAGCTCAGCTCTCCCATAGAAAAGGAAATTGCAGTTGAAATATATTTTTTTAAGAAGTGAAAATATTTTTCTAAAGTCAGCTGGCTGCTGTCACCAGCCCGTTATATAACGGTGTAGCTTCAGCCTTGCAAGAACGACTCCAAAGTGGCCTCGCCCGTGGCCTGCAGTAGTTTTCAGGGTTGGGTCTGCACCTGGACACTTGCACACGCAGACAGCGCCTTGTTTTCCCAAGGGTGGGTGGTTTCGTCTTCCTAGTGAGACTGGACAGGCATCGGCCTCCAGTTCCACACAGTGACTTGGAACGAAGTTCCGGGGCCCCACCCCAGGCCAGCGAAATTCCCGGCGCTCCAGAGCAGCTAAGACACTCAGCACTCATCTTTGGAAGTTCTTCACAAGGTTCTTAACGTGCAGCCTGAGTTAAGAACATCTGGGTTAGAAAAGGAGTTTTTTTCCTAGGGTTTTCATCCTCGGAGACTGGCATGCACCGTAAGGATGATGAGTGCTGGACGTGGCCTAAGAACTATTGTCTTTTTTTCCATTACATCAGCCCTTTTGCTCTCTGGGTGAAATACTCTGAGCCGGAGTTGTACAACAGGGGAAAATGCTTGCTGTGCACATGGCCTAGTCACCACCGTCCCACACGGTCCCCTGAGTGCCACTAGAACTGACCTCTGAGCACCGAGCTAAAGAGTAGAGCCCCTAAGCACACTGAGTACAACCCCCCTCCCCCCCAAAAAAAAATTAGATTTTTTAAAATTTCATGCAGGAAAAAATATATACCATCCTTGAGATACTTATCCATGTCTTGAGAATTCCAGTGTCAATATTCAAATAGGGGATGGTCACAATTAGGGGGGGGAAAATGTGAGCAAAAGACATGAAGCAAATTACACTAAGTCTTCCAATAAATTTCATGCGGTGAAATTTCTGCCGTGTTTCCTTGCCCTTTTGTACTCCAAAACTGTCTCCAAAGGACAACTGCTTGGCGAGGCCTGGAGATAGACACTGGTTCACATGCTTCGTTGCAGGCTGAAGAGATAGCACAGCGGGGAGGGCGTTTCCCTTGCATGCGGCCGACCTGGGTTCGATTCCCAGCATCCCATATGGTCCCCTGAGCACCGCCAGGAGTAATTCCTGAGTGCAGAGCCAGGAGGAACCCCTGTGCATCGCCAGGTGTGACCGAAAAAGCAAAAAAAAAAAAAAACCTGGAAAAACACATACTTCGTTGCCCCCCAAAACCCCCTATACCCCCCTTTACTGTCTGCTTGCTCTGACGGCCCAGATTAACGGGGCTCCCCATCCTCCTGACACGGAAAGACCATGTCTTAGTCGCAGCACTCACGCAGCCCTAGGAGAGAGGCCGACCCGTAATAGCTAATGGGGTGCAGGACTGGCCTGAAGAGGCTCAGAGTTCGCTGTACCGGACTTGGCTACGTGCTTTACAGACCCCAGCACGCTCCATTCCCATTCCCAACACTCGCACACTTTTTGCTGTGGTCCCCGGAATCAGAGTGGTGCCCGGTTGCACTTGGCATCTGAGCTGTACTGAGGAGCAGACTTAAGTCCTCATGTCTACAAGCGAGGCACTTTGACACGGAGCCATGCCACATCCCGCCAGCGCCCCTAAAAGTACAGCAAACCCAGTATTTTTTTTAAAAAGTGGAATCCACAGTACCCCACATTTGCTTAAAAAAAAAATTCACTAGGCCTTCAGAGGAGGGAGATACATTCAAACGAAAAGCCCAGAGTAAAAAGATTCAGGAATTATGAAGAGTAGACAATTTCGAGAATATTTTAATACCAAGAATGCAACAAAGCAAAAATGGAAAATCCAAGAAGGTAAACAAAAATTCTTAGAATAAACATAGTTCGCCAAGACTTAAATAACTTAAAATCTGTGATAAACTGAAACTTAAAAGCAAGCCAGAGTGATAGTCCAGCGGGTAGCATGTTAGCTGTGTATGCGGCCGACCCAGATTCAGTCCCCGGCATCCTATATGCTCCCCAGAGCACCACCAGGAGTAATCCCTGAGTGCAAAGCCAAGAATTACCCCTATGCTTCGCTGGATGGGACCCAAGAAGCAAAAAAAAAAAAAGAAAGAAACGAAAAAAGCAACGAGACAGGCCTGAAGGAAGAGCGTAGTGGCTTAAAGCACCTGCCTTGCAAGCATGTGGTCACAAGTTCAAATCCCCAGTCTTGAAACAGAAGCTGAGGGTGATCCTGGCATTTTGCTTCTGCAATCCTTGGCACTGCAAATGACTTCCAGCTGCCCCATGTGCATGTAAGCACCATACACTACAAGTGTGGGCACTAGGTAGCCCCCAGCATGCACATCAGTCGTAACATGTAGGTAAGTGCTGAGAGAGAGAGACAGAGAGAGAGAGAGGTGTGACATCTGAACACAGAGCCAGGAGTAATAAGCCCTGAGCACCAACTGGTGTGGTTCCCCACCCACCCACCAAAGAAAGGCTTAATAGCATCGCATGCGCAAACATAGCAACTAAAGGAATGGAACTCTCCGTGAGCACCAGGGCTGAGCATCCAAGCACTACTGCCAGGCCTGGTTGTGACACCCTCCTCTGTCCTGACAACAATGAGGGGAGTGGGGAGAGGATGCGGGAAGGGGCAGAGATGGCGCTCGGTGGCCGAGCACTTGCCTTGGGAGCAAGGTGCTGGCTGCAGTCGCTGGCACTACAAAACATAAATAGAATCAAGAAATCATTCGCCTCCAGGAACAAGGCTGCAGGAGAACAGGACTCACAGCCTTCAGGCCAAATGCCCCCGACATCCTCCCATGGGCCGTTTTACTGGAGCGTACTAGTTATAATTTTGCTATGGGGGGGGGGGGGGGAGATGGAGTGGTCACACCCAGCAATGCACAGGGGTTGCTCCTGGCTCCGCACTCAGGAATTACCCCAGGACGTGCTCAGGGGACCATACGGGATGCCGGGAATCGAACCCGGGTAGGCTGCGTGCAAGACAAGTGCCTACCCGCTGTGCTATTGTTCAGACCCCGGAGCTGGTTATTTTCACACCACAATGTTGAGCCCGCTACAGAAAGGTGTGCCCTGGCTTCAGGCAACAGAACTAAGAGAAAATGTGCCTCCAGTAAGTGGCAGAGAAAAGAACTGTCAGCCCTGGGAATCATCAGCAGGGCACAACCGTGACCACACCACGTGAAGCAAGACCCAGCTGAGATGCTTTGAGCAGAGCAGGAAGGACGTTCGATTTCCTTCACTCTCCGGACCTCAGATGGTAAAATTCTCCAGAACGAAGGGAAACGAGGCCAGATGGAAACTTTGGACCTGCACAAGGGAAGGGAGAATACTGGCAATGGACATGCACCACCAACGCCACTGGCAGACTGGCCAGGAGAGAAGGGACAGCTTGGGGAAGCCTCAGGCTCACTGCTGGGCCCTGAGTAGCCATTCCAAATCCTGCTGGCTCTGGCCTGCCTGCACACACCAGATGCCCAGCCCGGCCGGGAGGGACGTGAACTGCAGCTGGGCTTGGCAACCCCAGCCTGGGAGCCGGCCACCTGCTCATCTGTACCGCAGAACCAGCCAGCATCATCTGAACGTTGAAATCACAGATCAACTTCTAGCGTTAATACGTGAGTTTTGCAAGATCCCTTGCAAAGTCAATGAACGAAACCCCACGTACATGTGCAAGACCTTCAAAGAGAATACTACAAAACATTAGGAAACCAAAGTCCTCAATGGTGGCTTAAAAAGCTCAGAAAGCTCAGTATTAGAAGTGTCTGATTCTTCCCAGAATGGCCTAAGAATTAAGGTGTTTTTGTTTTTTGGTTGGTTTTTTTTTTTTTTCATATTTAGTTAGTTTTTGACATTTGGGCAACACCTGGCTGTGCTCAGGATAAACACTATTAAATATTCATAAAATGAAAAGTTGCTTTTTTGTTTTTATTGGGAGGGGGTTACTGCTGACAGAACTCAGGGAACAATAGGGGATGCCAGGGATCGAACCCGGGTTGGCCGCATGCAAGGCAGGCGCCCTCCTCACCGTACTATATCTCTCTAGCCCCTAGAGTTTTGAAGGTAAAGGTAAAGGTAAAGGTAAAGGCCCTCCCGTTGATCGTCGATTTGCTCGAGCGGGCCCAGTAACGTCTCCATTGGAGACTTTGTTGTTACTGTGTCTGGCATATCGAATACTCTCGGTAGCTTGCCGGGCTCTCCGAGAGGGGCGGAGGAATCGAACTCGGGTCGGCCATGTTGGCCGCTTGTAAGGCGAACGCCCTACCCGCTGTGCTATCGCTCCAACTCTTAAAAATATCGGTAATATCGAATGATGCTGAAGAAGAAGGACATGAACTTTTACCCTACTTATAGAAGTGTGAATTAATAAAGCGACTTTGGAAAATTAGGCAATCTTCTGTATCTAGGCAGGCATATATTTGATCACACAGTCCCTCACCACAAGGATTAAATCCTACGGATGTGTGTGCACAAAACACATTTTAAATTGTTCATAGTGCTAGAATTGTGGCTGAGACTTGAAATTATCAAAGTGTCTATAAAGAGGAGAATAAATAGAGCTACAGACCTAGATTAAGTTCCTCTACATCAGTAAAATTAAATCCGGACTCGAATGAATTCCACAAACCCAGTAGAAAGGAAAACAGTCCAGCTAAGAAGAAATGCATGCTTCTATAACTCCATTTTAGAAGACAGTGTGTGAACCAAAGAAGAAGGATGTTACATTTGGGAATGGGAAGGGAAGAAGTGATCCCAAGAAGCCTGAAAAGTGGGGTGGTGCATTGTGCTGATATTCTGTTTTGTACCTGGTAAGTCATTTACTCAGTTGGGTTTACATTATGACAACACATCAAACTATATGTTTAAATGTTCGTATTTTTTCCTATGTCTTTTATATGTCAAAAATGTTTTCTAAAAACGAGGGCGAGGGGCTGGAGGGATAGCTCAGCGGGTAGGGCGTTTCCCTTGCACGCAGCTGATCCAGATTCGATTCCCAGCATCCCATATGGTCCCCTGAGCATCGCCAGGAGTAATTCCTGAGTTCAGAGCCCGGAGTGACCCCTGAGCATTGTCGGGTGTGACCGAAAAAGCAAAAAATAAAATAAAATAAAAAATAAAAACGGGGGCCAAAGAGAGAGCACAGTGGGTAGGGCTGTTGCCTTGCGCGGCCAACCTGGGTTTAACCCCTGGGACATATGGTTCCCAATCACTACCAGAAGTTCCTGAGTGTAGAACCAGGAATAACCCCTGAGCATCACCAGGTGTGGCAAAAATAAATAATTTCACCCTAACTGGAAGGTCTTTAGAAAGCGGTCTAGCTGACTAACAAACAGCCAGAAAACAGTTATGAAGCATCTTCAAGAGACCCAGAGATCAATGTCATATTGAAGTGAAGATTCACAGAAAACTGGAGAGGATGGGGATGAATTGTTTGCTTCTCTCTTTGTGGAGCATATATCTTTTTCAGGATAATTAAGCTGACACGTTTGTTCCCTGGGAGCACTCGCCTCATTTTTAAGGGTTCGGTGGCTCCATTTGTGACAACCAGAAGTGACAGCTTCACTCCAAAGAATGGCAATGAACCGTAACGGGGGAAGTGATTTTATTGCTGCTTCTCATCCTGTCCGTTATCTGGGAGCCCTTTTTAAATAAAGTTTAGTTCATTTCCATTCTCTGATTACAAACAAAAAAAGGAAATGCTTAAGAAGATATTGGGGACTGGATAGATAGTACAGGGGGCAAGGTGCGTATACTTTGCCTGCAGCCAATCCTACAGAGATCCCTGGCACTGCATACGGTCTCCGAAACGCTTGCCAGGAGTCATCCTCAGTGCAGAGCCAGGAGTCAGTCCTAGGCACCACTGGGTGTGGACTCCCCACAAAAAAAAGAGGAAAAAGAAGAATTTCAAGGTATCCATTTTCCTAGAAATTTCAGGCTTGACCCTATTGAAAAAGGATTGTAGATGACTTTGTATTATTATTATTATCATCATTATTATTATTATTATTGTTATTAATTTGGCTGTGACTCCAGACAGGATCCAAGGAAGAATTTTTACAATCTGGGTTGTTTTATGGAGACTTCCTTTACCCTCTGTGTTAGCATGTTGGAGCACTGAGTCCACCTTAAGAGAGTGCAGGAAAGACTGTGTGGATGACTTTTTAAAGATGACCATCTTTCAGAGCTGGAGTGATAGCACAGCAGGTAGTGTTTTTGCCTTGTATGCAGTTGACCCGGGTTTGATTCCCAGCATCTGAGCATCTCCAGGAGTAATTTCTGAGTGCAGAGCCAGGAGTAAACCCTGAGCATTGCTGGGTGTGACCCAAAAAGCAAAGAAAAAAAAAAAAGATGAACATCTCATTGCTGTGACTTTCTCATCGTTATCATCAGGGCAGCATACAACTAAACTTTTATAGTGTGGCTTCTCCCATGGACGAATTACTCGGCCATGTGGCTTGAGAAAGGAAATCATTCTGAAGGTTTGCTTGCCTCGTTAGAACATCTTGTCTTCTTTATAAGTTTATTTTTAAACCATGGGCTTGGGGTTATACTGTGTTCTCCACTTCCTAGCCCTGACCCTAATTTCTTTAAACAAACAACAGTCTTTCTCGAGATGTCTGACTTGTGGTATGTGATCTGGATGTCAAAATCGCAAAATTCCTGCAGAAAATACTGAACTGGAAGGCCATTCCGTGTCATGAGGTAACTGACACTTAGCCAACTCCTCACACATGTTTTTAAGTGCTACTCCTGCTATCTTTTCGACAGATTATGTTTACACACGATTTTCTTTTCATGTGTGAAAGGTTCTATCTGGAGCAGTTTGTTCTTAAAGATGGTACCCAAGTTAATGAGGAAAATATTCAAATCCAGGTTCAAAACATGAAAAAGTAATTTACTGTGGTAATTGAGGGCCCGCCTCTGTAGGTCTCTGCCGAGTAATTTCTTGCCTTGGATCGTTTCCACCCTCTTGGTTTTCCGTAACAGCAGAAGAAATTGCATAATCAAATTAGCTAATAGAGGCAAGTTCATTATTTTTTTAAGTTTATTATTTTCTTCACCCACGACTAAGATGAACACAAACCTAAACTAAAATAATAATGATGATGATAATAATACAGAACTTGCCTCTTGGACTGGAGCAAAAGAATACAATACAAGGCACTTGCCTTACACACTTTGACCCGGGTTTGATCCCCAGCATTTCATATGGTCTCCAGCACAGCCAGGATAATTCCTGAGCACAGAGCCAGGAGTAACCCCTGAGCATCATTAGGTGTGGCCCCAAAACCAAAACACAAGAACAACAAGGATATTCACTCAATTTGGGCAACATCACTTATCACTTAACTTCCCGTTAGTCGTCGATTTGCTCGAGCGGGCGCCAGTAACGTCTCCATTTGTCCCTGTCACGTGCTAGTGTAGCCCAATGGCATCTGTTCACTCCGGGAACATGAAGGGCCTCAAACCGATCATTCATGATCTTGACGAAGAAGTCTGACCATCTGGTAGGTGGGCGGCCACGCGGTCTCTTGACATTCCGTGGAATCCAATCAGTAACAGCTCTAGTCCAACGGTCGTCTTTAAATCTCATTATGTGACCAGCCCATCTGATTTTCGACACCTTGGCAAATGAGACAGCGTCCCTGATTCTTGATCGTCGATGGATGTCAGAACTCCGGATTCGTTCTCTCATTTGAGTGAAACGTGATATTCCAAACATAGATCTTTCTATTCTTCTTTGGGAGACCTGAATAGCGTTCTCATCTTGTTTGCGTAGGGCCCAGGTCTCTGAGGCATATGTTAATGCAGGAAGAACAGTGGAATCAAAGAGATGTGCCCGGAGCCGGAGGTTCTTCGTCCTCTTAGCTATTTCTTCGACATTCTTGAAGGCGTTCCAAGCCGCTCTCTTCCTCCTGCGCAGCTCGGGTGCCAGGTCATTTGTCATGTTGACCTCTCGACCTAGGTACACATAGCTGTTGCATTCGGAGATGGTCCTTCCGTTGAGAGCGAATGGGGCGTCAGGAACAAGGCTGTTTCTCATAAACATTGTCTTCGTAAGATTCAGCTGTAGTCCTACCTTTCCACACTCACGGTCAAAGTCGGCCAGCATTTGTGCCGCTTGGCTGATGTTTGGTGTTATTAAAACAATGTCATCAGCAAAGCGGAGGTGGTGTAATTGCCGACCATCTATCTTCACTCCCATTCCTTCCCATTCCAGTCGTCGCATGATGTTCTCGAGGGTGGCACTGAAGAGTTTCGGTGAAATGGTATCACCCTGCCGCACCCCTCTCTTGACATCAACGATCACTTCTTGATCACTTCTTTGTAGAATGGTGAGATCCTGGTAGTGAATCCGCAATACAGCTCACGGAGGATCCTGATGTATTGGGCTTGAATGCCCTGATTGGCTAGGGCTTCAATGACCGCTTCCGTCTCAACAGAATCAAAGGCCTTCTTTAAATCAATGAACGTTAAGCAGAGCGGCATCTTGAACTCCCGAGAAACCTCAATGAGCTTGGTTACCGTGTGGATATGGTCGATGGTGCTGAATCCTTTGCGGAACCCTGCTTGCTCGCATGGTTGTCCTTCATCTAGTGTTCTGCCAATCCTATTCAGGATGACTCAAGTGAACAACTTGTAGATGACAGACAATGGGCAGATCGGGCGATAGTTGCCAATGTCATGGATGTCTCCCTTCTTGAACAGTAGTATGGTCCTGCTGGTTTTCCATTGGGACGGAACCTTGCATTCAGACAGGTAGCGAGTGAAGAGCCGAGCCAGTGTATTGATGAGTACTGATGGCAGGTTCTTCAGGTGTTCAGGTCTGACCTTGTCTGGGCCGGGTGCTGTTCGTTTCTTTACTGATGAAATGGCGTGTCGGATTTCGGAAGGGAGAACGTTGGGAACGACATACCCATCCTGTGGAATTTGGTATGTCGGCAAGTGGACATGGCTATCGAAGAGATTTGAGTAGAAGTCATGGATAATCTTCTCCATTGCCGTTCTGGAGGATGTGATGGATCCATCAGGACGTTGGAGGGCAGTCATCTTGGTCTTATAGTTGGCGAAGGACAGGCGGGCGTTACGAATACTTTTCCCGGCTTCTGCCGCATCTACCAAAACACAAGAACAACAAAGATATTCACTCAATTTGGGCAACATAATTATAAAGGAAACATTCCCAGATTTAACCAAGAATCTCAACAGGGGAAGCACTTCTTCAAATTGTCGTATTTTGAGTTCAGCAAAGACATCGGCTGGTCAATGTTATGAGGTCAGCGGTTTTCTGACCATCCCTGTGGGAACATCATCACACTTAGCAGTAAGTAGATATTAAGTAGAGAAACAGTTAAAGAGTTAAATACTAGAGACAAAAATGATGGATTATAACAGCCACTTGGCAAGTAGGCTTTCTCCTCTGGCCTACCACTGAGTCAATACACGCCTTAAATGATCCTTATTTCCATTTTCTGGGCAACTCAAGTATCACTTCACTTAGCAACACAGTCTGCAGGAAGCTTGGCTTTTAGGAAGAGCTTGGGGGAAATAATAGTGGTGGGTTTGTTTTAAATAAAATCATCATTTAAAAAATCACAATTGGAAAGACTTCAGTGATAAGCACAAACATCAGCCAATAACTTACTCTCACCATAGAAAGTTGACAGAATAGTTTACAGAGAACCACAGGACTAACTCACATATTCTTAAACACCATTCCAACCCTCATTTCCTCCCCCTGTTTGAGTCACTTTTAAGTGGTATTTTAATTTTTTTAAAAAGTGACCCCAAAGTAGTCTGCCAAAAAAAATAGAAAAATCAAGGATCTTAATTACCTATTGACCCAATAACTAGATACAAAGAAGAGTAAGTTCATTTTCTCCACTAGTAGGAAAATTTGTAACAAGTAGAGAGTTGTTTTTACGACTGTCATATAATCTTAAACTTTAATCAGTGGCATATTGAGCTCTGTAAACATTCCCCTTTGATATACCCTTTCTAAGCAGGGTGTTTGGTTTTAATTTTCATGCTTTAATTCGAATAATATGATTTTTTGGCCAGATTCAAAAACAAGTAGATTTTAAACAATTTCATTCATGTTGAGTACATGAGCATAGTCTATTGTTAATTCTGTGTCTTTGGAAACAGACTCTGCAACTGGACTGAATTCCGTTCTTCATCTTTACATCTTAGCGTCTACATAATTAGACAGTAGGTCATTGTAATGTCACCTGACATTAGGAGATATTTGATTAATGCATGTGAGAGCTGGAGAGGTAGTACAGGGTAAATTAAGGCACTTGCCTTGCGAGCATCAACCAGAGTACTGCTAGGGGCAGGGCAGGGCAGGCAAAATTAATTCATATGGAAGTGAATTGAGAGGCTGGAGCGACAGCATAGTGGGTAGAGCGTTTGCCTTGCATGCGGCCAACCTGGGTTCGATTCCCAGCATCCCATATGGTCCCCTGAGCACCACCAGGAGTAATTATTGAGTGCAAAGCCAGGAGTAACCCCTGTGCATCACCAGGTGTGACCCCCCAAAAATTTTTTTTTAATTAATTCATATGGAAGTGAATTGAACAAAATATTTTGTTAACATCGTTTCTTTTATTTATAGAAGGCACATCCATTGGTGGTACGTGACTTAAGTCCACCCCCTCACAAAGCTCAGGGCCCCACACTCCTCAGGGCACAGAAGAGCAGCCCTGTGCAAGGCTGGAAAGAGGGGTGTCGTGTGGTACTGGGGAATGAGCCCAGGGCCTCAGATATGTCAGGCATCTCCCTGGTTCCAGGATCCTTTTGCTGTTGGTCAGGATTGTGAGAGTCTGGAAAAGATTGCTAGACACCGTTGATCTAGCAGGTTCTGACTAGGGGCAGGGCTGTCGCTCCGTGTTGAACATGAGGATCTCATTCCCGAGACCCTGGGTTCTACCAAAAAAGAAAAAGGAAAACTAGAGAAGTGTTCATTGACATGTCCAGTGTGAAGACACATGGGTCGGGTTAAGTAGATTAAAGTAATTTATATTTTAGAATTTTGGTCAGAGCTGGAACATCTATGCCAGATGCCAAATTAGTTTTGGCATCTGGGATGGCAACAATTGACAATCCCCCACAAGAGGAACAAATTAGATTGACT